AGGATGAGCCCCGAAGGGGGATGGACACTGGATGATGTGCCAGCGAGGATGCTGGCCCCCAAAAGGGGGTGAATTGTGAGATCCCACATTGATTGGAGAGGGAAACGAGTGCCAGCGAGAACGCTGGGCCCTGAAGGGGGGTGGAGTGTGAGATCTTACATCGGTTGGAGAGGAGAACGAAACATTATTTATAAGGGTGTGAAAACCTCTCCTTAGCAGACGTGTTTTAAAATTTTGAGAGAACGCCCAAAAAAGACAATATTTATTAATGGTGTGCTTGGGCTATTACAATTTCTATGGGACCATAGTTAATTTTAGAGGGAGTAGACACCAATGTGTTGATAGGCTTGGATATTTGCAGCAGTAAGTCTTAGTCTCAAAGTGATATGGCCCATATCTTGCCCTGCCGAAGTACCACTGTCTCAATCTTGCCCTTTATGCCACATATAGGGGAGAGAAATTCCACGACTGATATACTCAACAAATGTTTTGTAATGAGATAAATGCAAAAAGTATATTTCTGGTCCATATGAGAAAAAGTTCTCTTTGAGCTTTTTTTTTTCGGGCTTCCCCTCAAGGTTTTCAAAATGTGTCTATTAGAGAGAGGTTTTCACACCCTTATGAAAAATGCTTTGTTCTCCTCCCCAACTAGTGTGGGATCTCACAATCCACCCCCTTTCGGGACCCAGTGTTCTCGCTAGCACTCATTCCCTTCTGGGACCCAGCGTCCTTGTTGGCACACTGCCTCGTGTCCACACCCTTTCGGTGCTCAGCTTCCTCACTAGCACATTGCCAGGTGTCTGGCTCTAGTACCATGTGGAATGTCCCAAGCCCACTGCTAGTAGATATTGTCCTCTTTGGGCTTTCCCTTCCGGGCTTCCCCTCAAAGTTTTTAAAACATGTCTGCTTGGGAGAGGTTTTCACACCCTTATAAAGAATGCTTCGTTCGCCTCCCCAATCGATGTGGGATCTCAAAGTTCCTGTTTAGAGTCTTCCTTAATCCTTCAAGAACATAGCTCACATATTCCAAAAGTTCAATTAAATGGTTCAAGAATTTCATTGAATGTTCCTGTAAAGCATACACGGCTGCATAAAATTACTAATGATATAATTATATGCTCATATTCAAGAATAAGGGTTCAAGTTGCATTGTACTACAAGTGAAATTGAATTTTATGTCTGCTAAAATCTTCCTTATTTCTCATTTGTGAAAAGGGTAAGAAAATGGTTAGAAGAACACCGTCATTTTCTTTGGCTCATAATCTGTAAACACTGATCAGGGGCTTTTATGCCATCTTCTCTATTTACAATGAACTGACTATCTGTTTATCATACTTGCCTGCAGATTTTAGAATGGATGGTGTCTCATAATGAAAACGAGTTATCCGATTCTGACTTTGCAATCCGCATTGACTTGATGACGAAAGTTTTCGGCATCGATGCTGCTGAACGATACTTTGAAGGTCTGCCAATCGACGCCAAAACTTGTGAAACTTATACTTCTCTCCTTCACTCATTTTCGGGATCCAAATTGACTGAAAAGGCAGAAACTCTTTATGAAAAAATGAAGGAGTCAGGTATACCTCTCACTGCCCTTCCATTCAATGAGATGATGACTTTGTACACATCGGTCGGGCAAGTAGAAAAGGTATCCTCGATTGTCAACGACCTGAAACAAAGCAAGGTCCATTCTGACATTTTCACGTATAATCTTTGGATCAGCTCTCTAGCTGCAACTTTAAATATTGATGGCGTTAGACAGATTCTCGATGAGATGACTCGCAACCCCAATTCAAATGAAGTCTGGGTGCGATATATCAATCTCGTCAACATATACATTACATCAGCTCATCTATTGCATTCCGAGTCGAACTCCGTAGTCGAGTCTGAGAGTGGCATTACGCAACGAGAATGGATCACATACGACCTCCTCATTATCTTGTATGCTGGTATGGGAAACAAAGACAAAGTTGATGAGATTTGGAGATCATTAAGGATGACAAAGCAAAAAATGACGAGCAGAAACTACATTTGCATTCTATCTTGTTACCTGATGCTTGATCATTTGAAGGAAATTGGTGAAGTTATTGATCAATGGAAACAATCAAGTACTGGAGATTTTGATGTTTCTGCTTGTAACAGGCTTGTAAATGCGTTTGTTGAAGCTGGCTTCAAGGAGAAAGCCAACAGTTTTGTCACCATTTTGAAGAATTGTGAACCCACAGAAGCATAGCGGTAGGTTTAAATCTTAACTTAGTCTTATCTTGTTTTGAACCATCAGGTTTCAAATGTTGTCTCCTATGCTCTGAATTTTGAGTAAAAGATATTGTTTCTGTCATTATTATTTTGTTTTCACATTTTACTTGTGGGACCTGCCCGAACAGGGTGGGGATTCTGCGTTTAGACGGGGAATGGGAAGGGAGCGGAGGGGCTGGGGACGAGATATATAATCTCGTCTCCAATCTCGTCCCCGCTCAATTTCCTGTTTAATATAAATACTAAGCAATTTCTCGCTCTGCCAATAATAAACACTACTTTTACTTATTTATATCTTTGTTTTTAGAATTTTGATATGAATCCGAGACTAAAGAAAAACTTTAAAATAAAGTTGCATTAAATATAGTCAAGTTTTATTTATGTCGAACTCAAGATAAAGACAAGTTTCTCTAATACCTAATGGCCCCGACATTCCTCTATAACCTATGTGATATGGTCATGATACTTGTTGTTTCTAAGATTGAAAACTATCTCCACATACCAACATGAATCATTCTAACATGTTTTGTTCTTACTCACATGCATTTTACAAAAATCCCCACAAACATATTTAATCATGAAGCCTCGTATAGTAGTTTTTATTTCAAACATTTTTTAGTGACCATGAAGCTCCGATAATTTTGAGCTATCAAAAATGAAAATGTACCTTGTTGGTATAGATTATAGTTTTTATTTCAAGCATTTTTTTAGTGATTCTATCTTTAGGATTGCTCTCATTCGGATATGGTGCGGTTAATACATATACCACTTTTTTAATCGGGTTTCACATTCTCGAACGCTAATTGTACTTAATGAACTCAACTAGAAGTCACACAACATTAAGACACTTTCCTTTCTAAAACAAAGGATTTCGAACTTCATCGAGAAGGACTTCATTTGTTCTTGGGTTATTGCACACTTTAACATATTTCAAATGAGAACGAAGTAGAAAAGGAAGGAAAAAAACAAAACAAAACATTGAAGTCACATGGGCATGTCGCCTTAAGCTCACAAAGGTAGATCATAACGTACGACCATTTATCCTATCATATATTGTCCTCAAAGTCCCAAATGATTCAACTTTATATCATCTCCTCCTCTACTTCTTAGACATGCTTCAAACCCAAAGACATTGATTATTTGTTTTGAAATTGTCTCATTATTCACGATTTGACACTTTGAATTCGATAAGATGCTTCAAATATTTTCAAAAAAATATTGCACAAGTAGATTTAAGGTGTACATTGAACCCAACAACTCGAACCGACCCAATTCAAATTATAGAAACTGGGTTAGGAGTTTTCTGAAACAAAAAAGATTCAATTTGGGTTTCGGATTTATTGGACAAAATTTTGAATTGATTCGAACCGAACAAAATCTTATAAAATATATTAACAAAACTTTTGATTTTTTTTAAAGTGGGAAAAGTGGTAATTTGGTGGAATTACAAATTATTATTTTAATGTTTTTTATTTTATACTATTTTTAATTGATAGATTGATCTATATTTGTTTGTGAATTTTTAATATATTTTATCGGAGAGAGATTGTATTGAATAATTAAGAAGGGTAGATAAATAAAGTTTTTTTAAAAAATATTTTTTTAATAACCGAACGATAAACAAAGGGTTGAGTTGAGTTGGGCTACCAATTCAACAAACTCGAATTTTTGTGTTGGTCCAAAAAATTTCCTCAACCCAATCTAACTCGAACTTTTGGGTTGATCCAAAAAATTTCCTTAACCCAACCCGATCCATGTACACTTCTAAGTAGACCATTAACAATGAAATTAAATGAGAAGTATAATAGATGATACGATCATGCTTGTCCAAAGCATGTTGCTTATGGTCGCATGATAGATGTCCTAGTCTTGTTTGTTTGAATTGGTTAATAGGAACGTCAACCAATTGAGTCCTAGTCTTGCTTGTTTGGGTCGGTTGATAGGAACGTCAACCAATCGAGTGGGGATGATGTCATGGTTATGCATATCCAAGGCGTGTTGTCAATGGCCGCATGCCAAATATCTCGATCTTGCTTGTCCAGGACGTGTTGTCCATGGTTACATGCACGTTCCAAACCTCTTTTATATACTTTCATCTTAGATAGGTATTTACACTTTTATTGTGCATTTTCCAAATGTCTCCTTAATACAATTTGGTAGACAAATAACGAAGTAGATTTAAGTTTAGGCCCATGCGTTGTATATTGGTTATGCTTTACAACATGTGTAAGAAGCTTAAATATGAACCCACACGTGTAAGTATGAACCCACCAGTCAGTTCGAACACCTCCTGGACTCTTTTTTGGTCGGGCTAGCATTCTCTAAAACTGTTGTTGTCTTGACACCTGTTAGAAATAACAATCGTCGCAGCATTATGATGAACGTAATGCTCGTTTTTTTTTGACATGTAGCATACACGTTCGTACCATCATAAAAGAGGCATATTCTCCAATGCATGAACACACAATGATGCATGAGGTTGTATCAATCTCTTACCGTTTCCTTTATATCATATCGTTTTTATCATAACTTTCCATGCGTATATTGGGATTGTGCATTATGTCAATTATATCATATATCACGTCGTATCAAACATATGTTATATCATATCTTCTACGTATCATATTATACTTTACACATATCATATCGTATAACGTTCACGTATGATGCGAATTAAATTAAATGTACATATCTAATAATTATACAAATCTTTCCACATTTTAATAAATTTTCCAGCACGTTAATCGCCTGTTGCAGCTTAGCACGCGAAAAAAATAGTTCAAACTTCAAGCCCTCTGAAAATGGCAGAAAACCAGAGTCGAACACAGACGAAGGCCAACATTACGTCCATGGCGGAGCAGAGAAGAAGACGCAGAAAGAAGGATCCAATGACATTGCATACTGTAGAAATCCCTCTCAATTCACATCCCGTGAGCAAAATTAATCGAATTCAAACAACTGTCCAAGCCGACATTTCAACCAGCATAAATCCACGCAACCCATGTGGGGATTTTCTTCCATTTGATTTCATATCTCTGTTTCTTTTCTGCCCCACTCTGACAAATCGTTTTCCCCTCTTGTTCCCTTCAGCTAAATTTTCAATTCAAACTTTTTTCAGGGTCTTCTCCCTTTCAATCATGTGGGAATCTGAGTCTGAATTTGTCAGGGGACGTGAATATGGCAGTGAACTCCTCAGTCCAACTAAACATGGCCTCAAGGCTGATGGGTTTGAGCAACGAGGCCGTTCATGGTTACTTCTTTAGAAACTGATTTCGCCTGTTTTTCTTTTGGATTGTACGCATTTTGTGTTAATGGGTGTAGTGCACATCAAGTGTTTGATGAAATGTCTGTTCCAAATTTGAACTGAGTTTTATGGTTTGTTTTGATTAGGCATGTTGGAACTGATATTCCTAGTGATATTCTTGTTCAAGTTGAAGATGTGGATTTCCATTTACATAAGGTATGGCACATTTGGGTTTTTTTTTTTTTTTTTTTTTTTTTTTTCCCTTCTTGGGGGCTCTGTTTTTATGGAGTTGAGTTTTCTGACCATTTGTTTTGTTTTGATTTGTTATTTGTTCTTGTTGGGAAGTATCTTCTCTTTTCTCGGAGTGGGAAGATGACAAGAATTCTGTATGAATCAAGGGATCCAGACTTGAGCAAGATTGTTATGAATGATGTTCCGGGAGGGGCCCAGGCGTTTCTATTGGCAGCAAAGTTCTGCTATGGTGTCCCTGTTGATCTAATAGCGGCTAATATCGCTGGCCTGAGATGTGCTGCTGAGTATCTTGAAATGACAGAAGATTATGAAGAAGGGAACCTCATATTCAAAACCGAAGCGTTTTTAAGCTATGTTGTTCTGTCGTCTTGGAGCGACTCGATTATCGTTTTGAAAAGCTGTGAGAATCTTTCACCATGGGCGGAGAATCTTCAAATTGTTAGAAGATGTAGTGACTCCATAGCTTGGAAGGCCTGTGCCAATCCAAAAGGAGTGAGATGGTCTTACACTGGAATGCCTCAGGACATTCAGAATCCAAAATGGAACGAGATGAAGGAGCCGATCCCAAGTGGAAGCCATACCGCTCCTGTCGATTGGTGGTTCCAAGATGCATCAATCCTGAGGATTGATCACTTTGTGAGAGTCATCACTGCTATAAAGGTGAAAGGGATGAGATATGAACAGATTGGAGCTGCAATAATGTACTATGCATGTAAATGGCTTCCTGGTTTAGTTAATGATGGGAATGGAGAAGGCACTGAGGCCATGAACTGTATTAATGGCAATGGCAGTGGCAGTAACAGCAAGTACAATTGGAATGGTGGGCTTCATATGGTTGTGGTAAACCCGAAAGACGAAATCTCGGCGCTTCAGGAGAAAGAACGGAGAATGATTATCGAGAGTCTGATCAGCATACTTCCACCACAGAAGGACAGTGTTTCTTGTAGCTTTCTTCTGCAACTTCTGAGAATGGCAAATGAGCTGAAGGTTGCTCCTGCTTTAGCCACTGAACTCGAAAAACGAGTCGGGATGCAGTTTGAACAGGCCACGCTTACTGATCTTCTCATTCCTTCTTATAACACATCTGAGACCATTTATGATGTTGATCTTGTTCAGAGGCTTTTGGAACATTTCCTCATTCAAGAACTATCAGAAGCTTCAAATGCTAGCAGTCAATCCTTTTTGGGAAAAGATATCTTAGGAGAATCTCAAACCACTGCTAGTTCAGGCCAAAATGCAAAGATGCGTGTAGCAAGGCTTGTGGATAGCTATCTCACAGAGGTGGCTAGAGATAGAAATCTCTCCTTGACAAACTTTCAAGTCTTGGCTGAGGCTCTGCCTGAATCGGCAAGATCGTGTGATGACGGGCTTTATCGTGCAATCGATTCGTATCTGAAGGTACGTTGAATGCAAATCTCTTTATCCATTGACTGAGTTTCATATTTTAATGATCATTGTGTTCTTCTCCCTAAAATAAGGAAATGCAGAGCAAATATGCATAACTTGAACTGCATAGCATTTGACATAGGAACAAAAAAAAAAAAAAAGATTTGGATACGTTTGTAAACCGTAACGGCTCAATATTACCGCTAACAGATTTGTCCTCTTTGGGCTTTGACTTTCGGGCTTCCCGTTAAGGTTTTTAAAACGCGTTGGCCAGGGAGAGGTTTCTACACCATTATAAAGAATGTTTCGTTCTCCTTCCCAACTGAGGTGGGATCTCACAATCTACCCTCCTTCAGGGCCCAATGTCTTTATTAGCACACCGCCTCGTGTCCACCCCTTTGGGGCACAACCTCCTCACTGGCACTTCGCCTGAAACTTGGTTCTAATACCATTTGTAATGGGTCAAGTTCACCGCTAGCATATATTATCCTCTTTGAGCTTTCCCTTTCGGACTTCCCCTTAAGGTTTTTAAAACGCATCGGCTAGGAAGAGGTTTCCACACCCTTATAGAATGCTTTCGTTCTGGGATATGACATAAACATTATAAAAGGGATGGTAATGCAAAAGTCTCTTTACAAAGAACTGCAACAAGTTCACTAGACTACGGATCTCCATTGACTTTCTTATTGTTGTCCATTTCCTGTTACCCCAAACCAACAGGCACATCCCACGCTATCCGAGCATGAAAGAAAGCGGCTATGCCGAGTGATGGACTGCCAAAAGTTGTCCGTTGATGCCTGCATGCACGCTGCACAAAACGAAAGACTCCCATTACGAGTCGTCGTTCAAGTCCTCTACTCCGAGCAAATGAAGATAAGCAATGCCATTGCCAACAACACGATCAAACAAGCTGGCGAGTCTCGATATCAACCTATTGCGTCAAGCAGAAAAACACTACTTGAAGGGACACCACAGTCATTCCAAGAAGGATGGACAACCGCTAAGAAAGATATAAACACATTGAAATTCGAACTCGAAACGCTCAAGACGAAATACTTGGAACTCCAGAACAATTTGGAGAATGTGCAGAGGCAATTTGAGAAGAGCCTAAAGCAAAAACAGACATCATCATGGAGCAGTGGATGGAAGAAACTAAGTAAACTGACGAAGATGAATGCATTGGAAAACCAAGAATTGGTTGATCAAGTTACAATAGCAGGAGAGAAGCCCAGAAAGACACATAGAAGGTGGAGAAACTCAATATCATGAAAAGGATCTTATCTTTTCTGCTTGGCATTTCCAGTCTGTTGCTTCACAAAAATGAGGTCAGTTCATTTGAAGCATGAATTTTTATCTTTTCATTTCGCTATGTTTGGGTCCTTCTGCCTTGTCTTTTCATGATTTCAAAGTTGTTTTTTTTTTTTTTTTTTTTTTTTTTTTTTTTTTTTTTTTTTTTTTTTTTTTTTTT